ACGCCTCCCAGGAGTTTAGGGGTTCAAACATGCCACCCCAAAATGTGCCGCTCTAGCGTACTGATTATTTAAGCTGCAGACACTAGAGAAGCAGGAGCAGGAAGGGCTTGCGACCTTCTCTCTACCTAAAATCAGATCAGAAAATTTCCAACAAGCAAGGAGCGCTCCCATGCTAGGAAGTGGGGCACGTCCTCATCAGGGCGACCCCAGAATGAGCCCACACAAGCAAACCTACCAAATAACCTTGCTTCCCTGAGTCCTCCCCCTAGGCCTGGTCCCTGGTCCCTGCCCCACAGCCTAAGGTCCCTAGCCCAACTCCCTGTCCTGTGACATCACCAAAATACATAGTTCTTGGCATGGAATGTATGTAAGTTTTGTGGTCTAGTGGTATCTTAAGGTCTTTATTTCCCTTTTGAAGACTCTTCTGTGTGTGTAAACATATTGCATTGAAAGGTACACTTTTGTTTTGATAATGTTTTGAGTCAATCGAATGCTTGTCCAACTCTAGGACCTAAGAAGCCCAAGAAAGTTACCTCCCCAGAGCAGCTCGGCCCTGGCTCTACCCCTGCAGGACTTGGCTTCCCAGACCTTTACTCTGATGACACTGTTTCTGTTGAGGTCGCCAATTTCTATATTGCCAAATTTAAGTGCTGGTCCTTGCTGTGCCCTCAGTTGCATCAGAGGCAGCCAAACTGATCCTGTCATCCTTGACCTCTGGGACGCCGTTCTCTATTTTCTCTACTGGAGCTCCTCTTCAATGGAGAAGAGCTACACTGTGCTGTTTTCCTGAACCCCAGGGGCTCTGCTCTCAGACCACATCGATCCTATCCCCTCTAGCCAGTCCTGAACTGGGAGAATAAATTTCTGGATTTTATTTCGGTTTCAAACAGGATCTTGCTATGTAGCCCAGTAGGGAGTCCTGCCTCTGCCTCCTGAGTGCTCTATTAGAGTTGTGCACCACCGTGACCTTCTATGTGCGTGGTGTCATCTTCACATGTGGCATAGTTGATGTCATTCCCACACAGCCTTTCAAGGCTTTCATCCCATTCAAAATAAAATCTGAATTTCAGGGAGCATCAGAATGATCAGCAAAGGGATGGAGCCCAATGACATAGCGCTCTGAGGTTTTTAAAAGAGGCCAACTGTGGCAGCCAGAGCTGTAAGCCACCCTTCTAGACCTCAGGGTGCGGGAGGTTACAGACACCTTTAGAAACTTCTGGTAAGCTGATTTATAAGACTTTCAGAAACAGAATTTTGGATAGGCTTCGTGAAAGGACAACAGCCACCCAAAAAGATTTTAGACCGAAAGATGGAAGTGACACTGCTCTCAGGACTGAACGAGCAAAGGCTTGTCCTGAGTTAAGACAGCGCAGACCACTGCCCTGCACAGCTCTATTTGCTTGTTCTTACCAATAAATCTGCAAGCACAACCCCGGGCTGGGGCTAATTTCTAGAGATCACATTGACCTCCACACGTGCCCAAACAAGATGACTTGATCACAATATCTTATAAACCTTTTAAAGTACTAATATGTAGACTTTATTAACTCTCTGTTTGAAACTTGTAGAGAAGGTAGACACTACTTCTCTGTCTTTAATAATTAGCAATGTTTAGAAATAAGCTTGGTATTTAAATCTTTGGGATGTGTAAAATTGTATTCTACAGCATTTGTAGATAAGGCATTAAGAGTACTTTAAAGTGTTTGTCTACTGCATTAATTGTAATTATACTCCACTGGACTCACGATGTTTTGAAATGCTTTATAAATTGACCTCGAGATCTTTTTATTAATCATAATTCAAATGCTGAGTTTCTGATGCTAGGTAGCAACAGCTTTGCCTAAGAGCACCCTCTTCTGTTTCAAAAGTGTACTGCAGTTATTGGGCTTCCTAGCAATTCTGGTTAAAACAAAAGGAAAATGTCCGTGCACACTATCATATTATTAATATAAGCATCCCTTCCTTCAGAGATTCGGAGGGCTGTGCTGGTGCAAATATACATGGAAGAAAAGTAGCAGACCTCACAGTAGAATGATTTACATTTCTTCCTTAGGAATCCTCATGCAAATGAATTTTGATCTTTTCAAATATACAATCTGCTTTCTTTTCCTTGTATGATTTTTTTTTTTGAGACCGGGTCTCACTATGCAGTTCAGGCTATCTTTGAACTCACTATGTACCCCAGACTAGCCCCGAATTCACAGTAATGCTCCTGCCCTAGCCTCCTAAGTGTTGGAATTAAAGGAGTGCACCACCATGCCGGCCTCCTTACACGATTTTAAAGGGACAGCTTTCATCTATGGTATCAATGACCTGGATAGGGGACCAGGACCTTGACCTATCCCTTCTGGGAAAGGTCTTTGTTTTTGGAACTCAACTATTTGCTTGCTAACAAGCAACTGTTTTGCTTTGAAGTTTAATTATGCTCAAGTGTCTATTGTGATGTCACTTTGAAGTAGGAACTTATTAATACACCTTAAAAAAGAAAAAGCTTCGTTTCATACAACCCAGGGGCGTCTGCAGGTGATGAGGTTGAAATCCATGAAACTGCAATCAGGAATGATAAACATTGGCAACTTCTAATACTTTGCCAATATACACAGCCCTATGCTTTAGGATGCTGGATAAGGAAACAACAGGTCCTTGGAATGGAGTAGCTGCAGGGCCTACAGAGGGCCTAGGAGAGGTGACAAGTCACCACAGTGTCCACACAAAGCAGGTGGGCAGTCTGGTGGAGTTACAACTGTAGGTAGAGGTGCAGTCATTGAAGACCAGACCTCGACACTACACTCCCATACTTCCTCTAGGGATAAACAGTAATGCTTGATACTCTAAGTAGGCATCAATCACCTGGGTAGGGGACCGGGACCTTGACCTATCCCTTCTGGGAAAGGTCTTTGTTCTTTCCATGCACAATTGCTATGGGACTTGCTTACCTACCTATTGGATCAATATTACCTAGGCAACTATAATTGTAATCTTATTGGGTGATCACAATTGTGTCCCACCTTATACTCACTTCCCCATTCCATCCCCACTGCATGATTTTGCTCTATAAAATTTCCTTTGAGAAGTGAGCTTGTGGGCAGCCCACTTTCCAGCTCCCCTTCCGTCCCTCTTAGGCAGAAGTTGTCTTTCCCCCAATAAGTATTTCCTACTCTTAACTTCCATTGTTCCTTAGAATTCATTTTTTGATTTTGAGGAGTATGAATTTGATGTATCAGACATCTAGCAGGTTGGGAGTTGTATTTCCCTTGTATTATTTAGAGGTCCTGTATCACTTCCATTGTTTCTGAAGAACCAGAGCCATACTTCGGTGTCATAGTTTGTGTCTAGATGCCCCCCAAAGCTTCATGTGGCCATAGTTTTCCTAGAGGTGGCTGAATCCAGATTATGTGATTGACTCAAAATGCAATGCTGGGAATAAGGTGCTGGGATTTAAGGGTGGGTAATTGCTGGTTCAGTTCACTGACTGGACTGGCACAGCCCTAATCCCAGTAGACTGGATACAATATAAGAAAGAGGCTTGTCTCTGTCTCCCTTGTTGCTTTGACTGTCTTCTGCCACCATGAATGGTTGCTCTCCTGCCACATGACAACTTGCCTGGGAACCAGCCGATTATGAACTGAAACTTCTACAAACTGTAAGCTAAATAAACCTTTCCTCTCTTAACTGTGGGTGTGGAGTATTTCGTCTCAGCAACAAGAACAGTAACTGTGATATTGAGTACAGCCAACAACAGCTAAAATAGTTGTCAGTAACTGGACCTCTATGAAGGACTGATGCAGTTTCGGAACATTAACGTTAATAGCTAAACAAAAGTTTAATTTCAACAAATGTCTGTTTCTTGTATGATCAAGGGTGGAGAAGTGGGTTTTGTAAATTGTTTTTTAGCAGTATTGATTCACCACGCCTACTCAGCCTGCCTGGCCGCACCCAATCCACCTCTCACATCTTGTCTGAAAGTGTTATGATTTGTGTTCAGATGCCCCCTCCCCGAACCTCATGCAAACATGGAGGCAGCTAAATCTAGCATTTGTGATTAGGTCATTGTCCAGTGCTAGGATTGGTGGTGTGAGTCCTGTACCTGTCTAGGGGCAGGGAGCCAGCATACAAGGTAGGGATTGAAAGTAACCAAGATAGGGGCTGGGGATTTAGCTCGGTGGCATAAGCACCTGCCTTGCAAGCAGGCGGTCATGAGTTCGATCCCCGGTACCAATAAAAAAGAAAAAAAAAAAAAAAAAAGAAAGTAACCAAGACAAACAGTCTCCATGGTTGTGTGAAATATTTTTCTAAACTTTAAAAACTTTGTTTTTAAATGCACATGGTTTCTGTAGTACCACTATTCAAGTTGTCAAAGTCACATGGTTCCATCCTATGAACAAAATTTGCCCTGACAGGAAACCTGGTGAAAGACTTTGGAACTCAAGTTCTGCCTGGCTCATTCATCCAGAACATCAACACCTCTCACCATTTTTGAATTATTTTACATACCTGTAAATTACAGAAAACTGGTATTTGTGCTAATGATTCTTATCTACAAAAATGCAAATTGCATTGAACAGGAGAAATTATGGGCTACTACTTTGTGACTGATTATACCCCATCTTTGCATCTATTTAAAAATTCATTTCAAACCTCTTTACTTCCTATAGATGCCTCTCCTCCTTGAATTTCTCCCTGAAGCCACTGTACATCTTACCAGTTCCCTCATTAGTTAATGAGTTAAATAAAGTCTTATGCACATAGTCATTTTGTATCTTTCAGAAGGATTACAGGATCTTTAAAGAATCATCCTTTATAATATCATCAATTAGAGTTGGACGGTGTTATTTTTCCAGGATATGCCAAGATGCCATGTTCAATGACTCCTTAACAGTGAAATTGTGTACATATGCCTGACAGAGAGTCAATTGTTGAAGATTATTGAAATTGATTTCACACCTTTAAAAAATAGCCCCAAGCCTTGCAAAAGATATAAGTCCATAGCACAGCAAGAATTATTTGAAATACATCTTTAATTTTAGAAAAATCAATACGCAATCTACAAAATACTTTGTTACATGATTAGTAAGGCTCAATCTGTTTTATACTCATATCGATAGGACATAAAATCATATTTTGAATAAAACATTATAATAGTCATATTAATATAGAACTTTAACTGAATTTATAAGAAAAAGTATAGTTCCAGAATGACGGAACTATCTAAAAAACACACAAAGTCAAAAGTTCCAGGCTTTACTTTGTAGAAAATACCCTTTTTTATACCTTCTTAGGGATAAACTATTGTGATTCTGACAGAATAATGTTCTTAAATTCAGACCTGCACAGTTGCTTATGTAATGATGGAACCCCGAATGCATTTGCACAATTAATAAGATTGCGGTAAGGTGACCAGACCAGAATGATTAGTGCAGAGTGACTTGTCACAAGCCATCAGCTCTTGAAAGGCTGCCACAGTGTCCATCAAACTGACTCCACAACAGTCCAATTCATAAAGAGGCCTACAGTAAAACACTAGAAAAGGAGTGGTCTGGCTCCCTTCCTCCTCCCTTAAAAATCAAGGGTTTCATGAAGATCTTTATTTACTTTCTGCCAAAGGCGATTCTATCTCTTAATTTGTTAAGTTTAAATGAATTCTACCTGACTTCTCACTTAGAACTCCAGTCACACTTGACCTTCCTGCCACACCTAAGGTCAAAAAAATTGTATTAAAAAGCTTCTCATTCCCACACAGATTGCTAATTTAACACTACGTAATGAATATTTAAGGTCCTAATAGATGTGCAAATTGACAATTATGCTGCAGCACCCTGCTGTTAATGCTATCAACCTTTGCATTGTGGCTGAAACTCAATTTGGGCTTTCATCAGTCTTTAGTTACTGTATTTCCAACACTGAATTTTGAGATGTTCCTGAAAGCTGGGCAGCCTGTAACTAATTCCAGAAGTAAGGTACCACAGACACTAGTCAGCCTGTGAACCACGAGAGGTGAATAACTGAACACTTTGCTGAATTTATTTGAAGGTGTAAATATTTATTGAGTTCTTTATGGGAAGGATGCCAGAGAGCACACTTAGAAAGGAATGGCAGCAATTACCTAGCTACCTTCCTTGGGTCAGACCTGGTCCGTCCGTATCTTCCTGAGCAGACAGAAGCTTACCAGAGTGAGCCCTTGCTGGATGATAAGGAAAGAAGGCAGGCTTTTAAAAAATTGTACACACATACACACACACACACACACACACACAGACATGCACGCACGCACGTGCATACCTGCCCTCCTATACGTCATCAGTGAGTCGTCAGCATGTATTATGAACAGTGTTTCTAGTGATGTTAAAAAAAGAGCAACATCAATTCATTTTGGCCATGATTTTTGCAATACGTGCTTTCATAGTAAGAAAAAATAAAAAGCAAAAACATCTGTTGATTGATACAGATCTTCATACATGTTTGTTTTAATCCGTTACTCGAACAGATTAAAATGAATCTAATAACATATTAAATAAAACATAGGAGATAAATTCTGTAAGCCAACAAATAAATGTTATTTGGAAGAACATTATTTCAGTTTTGACTCAAAACAAATCTGATAAATAGAGAAAAATGCCTCCTAATCACATTTAAGACTCAATATATATTGAAGTTGTGTTAATATGTCCTGGAAGAATTTGTTTTTTCCAACTGAAAAATATACATTTCATGCATTTTAAAATTCAGAATTGTCACTACAGATATTAAAAGAAAATTATAAGCAGAATTGTAACTGCTAATGTTGTTGGTTTTTCACTAGAAACTAACCTACAACAGTCATTTCTTGCTTTGAGGAAATGTTTCCTCTTAGAAATACAGGTAAAATTGTCTAGTTTCTTTTACTTTAGGCATCTTTTTAAAAAATACTCAAAATTAAGCAGGGTTAGCATAAAATAGCATGATAGTAGCATCAGCATAACAATCATACTATGATTTTACTTCTACTCGAGAGGCTTGTGTTAATTACAAATAATACTTTATCAAAATATATTCTTAGAGTATACTTTTAGAAAACAGTATTCATGAGCTTTAAAAATTCACCTTTAATGTACATAAATATTCTAACTAGCACCCAATGCTTATTCCATTTTGAAAGGGTACCCGCCAACAAAAGGCAGCGTCTCTTAGTGACCTGTACTAAAATTTGTGTATCAGCAGAAATAGCGCCTCCATCACACACTCCAGGATATAGACACTTCAAAAGTGATAAGCCAGCAGGGGAAAGACAGGTGCCAAATACAGCCAAGGATAATTTACCAATGTGGCCAGAGGATAGGAACAGAAAAAATGCAAAACCACAGGTAATTCCAAATCTGCATTTCAGTCTGTGGTTTGTTTCAATATCGCTCTCTACCTAACCATGTTTCAGGAAGGAGGAAGAGGGGACATTAATTACTTTAGTTCAGGTCCTCTTTGTGCGTTTCCCTCTGGTAAAGCAAGAAGAGGGGGGATGGAGGGATATGGTGCTCAGATAATAAAACCAATCAGCCACTGGGTAATCAAAATTCAAAAACCCCTCAGACAAGCCAGCTACCAGGTCACGCATGCATCGGGTAACAGTGCTGTGAGTTTCAATAGAAAGCAAAACATCACACAAATTATAGATTCACTTTAGATCAAGGCCACAGGGCAAAAATACGTCAAAGTATAAGAGATAGATGGTTTAGTTTTAGTCTAAACTTTTCTATACACAGCCTTTGGACCTGTGCTGGGCCCACCACTCAGAAGTCATTGCCACCCTCTCACGTGGTCGCCCAACCCTGCCCTTCATGCGGTTTCTGTGCATTGCACATTTGACGGACGGCTATCAGCGTCTCTCCCGGCTGCTCCTACTGCGTGACGCAGCTGCCAGCTCTATCGGCATCTTCTCCATCAATTTTAATCCACTTCTTTTCTATTTCAACCTGTTACAAAGAAGCAAAACACAGGCAGCATTAGCAGATGTGATGCAGCCCTAACCCCATGTGCGCCCTCTCCACACACCAGCCAGGAACCACGGCCCCGCTTCCTGTGGCCACCACCTCCCACCGCAGATGGGCAGAGCTCTCTGGAGTGATGGAGCCCCAGTCCTTCAGCCAGGGGCCACATCTACAATGTGCCAAGTCAAACACAGTTTTTGTCATAATTTTTATCACAAAAAGCTTCTAAAATATGAATTCATTTTAATTTCATATATATATATATGTATATATATATATATATATATATATATACATATATATACTTTTTGAGAAAAGATCTGCAGGTCTGGTTAGGCATGAGATTAGTTAACCCCTACCCCATCATATCTACAGCCACTGGCCCACCTGAGATTTATAACATACCCAAAATTATCTGACTAAAACAAACTAGCTTGCAAACTAGTAGCCCAGTTACTCTTCCAGTTAGCATTTTTAGCTCAGTTCAGGTGACATTTCACAGGGACCCTCCTGGAACTATCACCTGCTCACTGTTGGTTTGTTTCCCTGACTCGAACCTCAGTAAGGACAGGGGCCTCGTTTCCTCTCGCAGCCTGAGCGTCTGCAGTGGGCTCTGCTACCGCGACACTGCTTGGCAGATACCTGTCACTTGGAAGGTGGCATTCAAATCGCCACAGGTGCCAGTCACTAGCAAAAATAGCTAAAAGCTGCTTACTTACGTAATTTGGAGCCTCAAACCATCCAAACCTGGCATAGCCTATGACGAGAAACTGGGCATAAAGGAAGCCTCCCTGCCGTGAGGCATGCGTCAGTCCTGCATCACACTCACGGCCCTAGTGCTGTAGGTCAGGACCCCAGCAAGCAGCTCTGGGCTGCAGATTCATGCGCAGACAATTGGGGGGGGGGGTACTTGCCCGTCTACAGCTGGGCTGAATGAAGGCCCTGAAGATGCAGAACAGGCACAGGAGATGTGGACTGCAGTGCAGCATCTTAAAGGCAGCTGCCAGTACCCTAAGAGGTGGACCCCACTGTGCTCACATGGAGTGAATCCCAGCCGGGGCACCTGCCCATCCCTGGACTCAGGCTGACTCAACAAGGGGTGTGACCTTGAGCAAAGCAGCTCTCGTCAGCTAGTGCGGTCCCCACTGCACAGGCCGTGAGCCATGTGAGGAAGGCAGGCACAACAGGGCAGCACCTGCCCGTCACAGTTTCACCAGCAGGGAAATTCACAGGACCCCAACATACATATTTCTAAACCGACGGTCCGAAACAACCTGGACTCACATTGTGACATCACAGGGCCACCAATGGGTGGATTCTCAAAAGCAAGACATGAACAGGAACTCAGAGTGGCATTACTCACAGCTGAGATCCCAGCAAATGTAGATTCTGAAATACTGTCAGAAAGTATAAAGGCTGTTCACATGCAAGACAAGAACTCATACAGCCAGGTAAGGTGGTGCGTACCTGTAATCCCAGCTACCCAGGAGGCTGAGGCAGAAGGATCAAACTTTTCACTACCTGTTATGCACTCTTCAATGTCTATGACTTGTAAATTATATTTTCTGATTTTAAAAATATTTAAACAAAACCAGCAACATATGTCACCAGCAAACGTTTCAAGATACGGGAAATATGTAGCAAAATCTTCCATGTATCTACTTGTGGTGATGATATAATAGAATCAGAAACAGCACATGGCACTCCGATTCATATGGCCCAAGCTGCAGAAGAATTGATCATGAACATTTAAAACTCGCGTAATAGAGTGACTCAGTGTTTCCCAAAACATGCTCCACAGAACAGTGATCCACAAGATACTGATGTGTGTTTGACACACACACACCACCAGACAAGATTCCTCAACACAGACCATCAAGATTGCACAGCAGAGCTCTTCTCTAAGTCGAATATCAATACATACATCAGTCAAGAAGGCAAAGCAAATACTTAAGGCCAAATCCGGGCCCCTTTTGGAAGTCCCAGCTTGACCTGAGGGGCGCGGGGCCATACCTGGAGGTTGTAGCAAGCTCGCTGATGAATGTTCTTTTGTGGTTGCATGTCACTGTCCACCCCCAGAGACCTGACCTCCGTCCTCGAGGCACAGGTGTCTGACATGGAAAACTGAACAGTGGCGAATGGGTACCAATCCAAGGGAATCTCCTGGTCAGATCCAAGTTCTAGTTTGTATGACAAACAGTGGGGATGATCAGGACCTAAAGGAAACAAAATTGAACTATTTCAGTGGTCACTGGACATTTCTGTTGAACATAAAAGGCATTTGTAATTCCCTGAGCGCTACGGCTGTACAAACTCCATATTAAAAATATGCTATCAAAATTCACAATCACGCACAAAGTAGGAAGTGTTCCAAATGCATCTAAGTACTAGCTCTAAAGTAAGTGTAACTTCATTATAACATACCTGCACACTCTTAAAGCTGTTTTCAATTACTGTTCACTCTGATAGAAGGCTACTATTTCTATGAAACATAATTATTCGGCCACAATGTGTCTCAGGCATGGACACCTCTTTAAGTAGACTGAAGCAGCCCTTCCAATAATTCTGCATTTATTCATTTTCTTACCCCTGTGCTTGCAGATCATGCAAAGGTAAATTTCTGTTCAAATTTGGTCATATTATTTGAAGAATTTAGAAGTAAAATTTAGGATATTATTAAGTGCGGAAAACATTCCAAGTTAAGAATTTTGCTTTTCAGTAAAACAGATTTTTTACTACTGAAATTCTCATGGTCCTGAAAAGCTTTGACTGGAACAGCTACAGTAGAGGGAGGCGTATTGGCTTGCAAAACCCCAATCCAGTATCTGTTCACGTTCAGTTGAGCATCAACACTGGGCCTCTGTGCCACACTCAAGTGTTATGACTATTTAGATATCCCCAAAGCCTCGGGAGGCCACTGGCCCTCGGGTGTGTGATGCTGGGGTTGTGTGCGTGGTGCTGGTATTAAGGTGTGTGACAACTAAATGAGCCCACTGATTGGCTCAGCAAAGTCCTGGGCGTGGATAATGGGAAGCCCTCCCTCCTAGGTAGCCTGGGAGGGATAAAACAGAGAGGCAGGCTCCTGCTGCTGCCCGCTGGTTTGCTGTCTCCTGCCTGCTTTGCCATGGACTGTTTCTCTTCTACCAGGCCCTCTGTTACGCCGCCCTGCCCCGGAGCCAGCTGACCAGGGACTGAAGACCTCTACAAGCTGAAAGGTGAAATAAGCCTTTCGTTCTTTAACTTTGGGTGTTGGATATTTTGTATCTGCAATGAGCAAAGTAGTAACCTCAGATACCAGGGATATTGTTTCTATCAGAGATTGCACGTAGATCACTCAATTTGTGTGCAGGTGCATATGTGCACGTTTTTATAGTGAAGCAAAAATATTTTCACGGTAGTAACTTTGACTACTGTAGCAACAAATGGCCATGACTTTGTTCCATTGTTCATAACATCTCAAATCCAACGTGTTATCTTAAATGAATGTATGAGATGACTCTAATTTCAAAAGCTAGATTAAATTACTGTACCACTGACATAGTTTAAAAGAACATTTTCATCAGAGTATTGCTGTAGGCACAAGAACAAGAGTTTAAAGGATTTCACTTAATTCCTAAAAGACAAATTGCCTTTCATTCCTTACAACCTGTTTCTTGTAGAGACTAATAAAATTCTAAGCTGCAAAAGTCATCCATCAATTAGCCAACAGATGCTCATTAGCCATCTCTACCACTTCCATGTAGGGTCACACGCAGTGGCCTCAGAGGGGCTCGGCGCTACCCACACCACCTGCAGCGGTGATAACTTCACCCCACCCACGCACCCACACATCTCGCCATCTGATATCCTTTCCCTATTTCTGGCCTCAGTGAGTTCATCTGCACTAAGCCAGGGCTCCCCAGGCCTGTGATGCCGGGGCCAGTGCTGAGGGCACAATCTCCACTCCCAGTGCACCCAGAGGCCATTCCCACCGCTGCAGCTACACAGCTGCTTACCCTCGAGCCTCAGCTTCCCTCTGCAAAGGAGGGAAGGACGACAACCTGGCCTCCGTAAGGCCGCGGTGGGTACTGACCGCAGAGCCAGGAGGAGTGGGGCATGGTGGCACTGTAGCGACTCATTCGTTATTACTCCGACAAGCACTGCTCGGCTGGAAACCCACTTATCATTATCCGAGTACTATAATTTAGCTAATAGAGGAATTGTGAATTCTACATGTTTAGAGTTGAAAATGACATTGGAGAGGATCTAATTTGATATTCACATTTTATAGGAAAAAATTGTTTGGGGGAAGTGTTGCGGCAAAAAATTGAAAGAAAAATGAAATCCAAGTTGAAGATTTAATCCTACCAAAATGCTAGAAGCAAAATCTTTCTACCTTGTTTCTCTAAAAAGCTGGTGAAAGACAAAACAGCATTGTTCTTTTGCATTTTGAGATATTTTTCCTGGCTTTTAAAACCTCTAAATACTTTACAGAGTTTACTAACACACTCCCTCTTTCAACTCTGAGTCCCGTGAGAACACCTATCATGTGAGTCCTCAGCACAAGGCCGGCCTGTTTGGGGCTTATTTGACACATGCATGAATAAATGGATGTGAACAAAACATACACACTGAGCCCCCATTCACATTCACACTCAAAAATGTGAAACTAAGGACAATGGAGTGACAAAATAGTGGGGGAAAGGTCAAAGCATGTCATTTGCATACACAAATTTCCCCAAATGAAACCATTAATCTGTATTTTCATTTTTTTAAAGAGAAAGAGGAAAATCCTGTTGTCTCAGTGCTGACCACGAGTGGGCACCCTCGAGCTTCGGCAGTGGTTATCTTTGGCCAGCATGGGAACCGCTGATCCAAAATCTCCTCAGGTCTGGAGGACACCCAACCCCCAGGAGCTGAAGCAGTTCACATCCGAACTACTGAAGGCAGCAGGAAATGAATGGTCAGAGGCCAGCCCAAGTGGAGGGAAGATGCCACAGAGCAAAAATAAAGAGCAAAGCAGAACTGGGCACTGCGAGACAGGTGTATCTGCCACTCCCATTCCCCTCTCTAGTTCAGGGCCACCAAAATTTTACCCCTCCTTTGGCTAAGCAAGCCCTCACTTATCCTCTTTCTCTTTCTCCTCCTTCTCTTCCCTCTCTCCTTTTGCCTTGACGGCAGCTCCTTTGTCACCCTCCACACCTTAGGATAAGGTCTATGAGCCACTGCAACTGCCCAGCCAGGCTCTGAGGTACCGTGCAAGGCTTAGCTGCCAGGGGAACACTCAGCACAGATGAGGTAGCAGGGAGCCCTTAAGGGACCAACAGCCCTTCTGCTCAAACGTTAAGCCTGAGCTCACAAATTCCCAGGAAGAAAGGCAAAACGAAAATATTAATTAATGGTAGAACACTGGTTCATATTTTTCTTTTAGATTCCATGTACTAAGTACTTTTCCAACAATGTAGGTTTTTCAGGAAATGAGGTGAGGGTAAGATTTTAAAGACCCTTTTTAAAGAAAGGCCTCTCTTTGCTAAACATATAACCGATCTAAAAGTCATCCAAAGAACCAAGTTGTGTCCAGGCTCCACTGCAGTACGTGTGGCCCCAGAACCACAGCACTGGGAGCCCGAGACACAGCAGCGTCAGTGCTGACTACCTTTCATCAAGGTGACTCCTGCATAGTTTAGGAGATGCCACCTTGTTACAAAGACTTCCCTTACGTCCCAACCTTCTGTATTCCTTTCCCATTCCCCTTTCCAACTCTGGGCCATGCCAAGAGGTGAATTAGAATGGCAGCGAACCCAAACCTCATTCTCTGCATTACCTTCCCCCCCTAACACAGACGCCTGGCGTCAGTGCTGAGGGACCCCAGAAGTGCCCCCCATACCCTGTCCCCTGGGCACTCAGACCCTATCTGAACAAAGCAGCTTTGACCCCAAAAGATTTGCTCAGTGCAGTCACTGCACAGCTGGCCAGACCACCTGTGAACCACTGCTCCACGTGTGCCTGGCAGGACCACGGTCTTCAGGAAGGGACCCAGCAGCCAAGATTGGGCCCAGCCAACCCCCTGGGGATATCTATTCTTGCCATTATTCTCAGTGAGCTCCACTGCTGGAAAAGACCAAGGGGAGGAGAATACCAGAGCGCTAGAGGACAGGGACACATGGAGTATGGGGAATGCCCTCTGCCTGGGGCCACACCAATGTCACAGGCATTAACAGCAAGCAAAGCCTCACCCTAGAGTGTGCCCAAGAGGGAATGGGGCCCAAGCACCGATGCAGCTGGAGGGGCCCTTTTGGAGGATGCTTGAAATAAGATTTCTGAGTTATTTTTTGGATTTTGTGATAGTCGTACAGACATAATGAAATATCCTAGTGACAGGAGCCAAGTTTTTTTTTTGTTTTGTTTTGTTTTTTTTTTTTTTTTTTGTCTTTTTGCTTTTTATTGGTACCGGGGATCGAACTCACGACTGCCTGCTTGCAAGGGAGGCACTTATGCCACTAAGCTAAATCCCCAGCCCCGGGAGCCAAGTTTAAACACAAAATTTATGTCTGTTTCACACACATCTGAACGTAGTTCTGTAAAATAGTCTAATAACTGTGCATAACACAAAGTTTTATTGTGTGGAATTGTCTGTTTATGACATTCTTCACTATGTCAATGTTCAAACATTTTTTGGATTTTGGAGCACTATGGATTTCAGAGTTTTGGACTAGAGATGCTCAACCTGTATGTTTCTCAAGCTCTGATGACGCTGGAAAACACACCTAATTCTAGGACAGGAGACAAGGAGAGTCTATCTTAGGCCTATGGTGCTAACGGCACCATTGGCCTCCTGTCTACCCAAGCAAGACAGACACTCTGACCTGCCCCAGTCCTTGTGTCCCCATGTCCATAACATAGTCTGTCACTGTCCTGAGGCCACCTCCTCTGAATTTCCTCAACTTTCCCCCACTACCCCTCTCATGAGGGCAAAAGTCTTACCCTGGATGCATTCAAGGTTCTCCTGGCAGCTCTTCAGACCTCCTGGTGCCCTGAGCTCTAACCCAGGGCTCCAATTTAACTGGCAGAGAGAAAGCCTGAAACCTGAGATTATTTAGAAGCCCTCAGGATATCCTAAGGTATGGTCAGGTTTGAGAAATAGTGCTGCCACCCAAAATAAAAATACTTCAGTGGAAGTCCACAGCTGAGAGCGTTAGGATGAGCTAACTAGATGAACTGCGAGCTACTTGGAGACAGTGATCAGTTCTTACCCATGTTTATCCCCAGGACTTGATGTAGTACTGGGTACATGTAAGTGCTCAGTGAAGATATGAGTGAATGAATGAACTGAGATTCCCTCAAACTGCTCCAAATTTACCTCCAGGTTTCCACTAGGAAACAACTCAGCACAAAGCACAGTTCTATTTTCAAAATTTTCTCTTTTGTTTTATATCACTACTAATTTACTCTTCTAAAATAAATATGATGCTAAAATTGTCTCCCAAGTTCTAAAATTCTAGATTATTTCCTCTGAAAAATTTTAAAAATGAGCTGCATTTTTAATGCTCAGATTCTATCTACCTAATTCTAAAACAAGTTGAGGCGATCAAATGGATAAATTCAGCCAAAAATCAATTTGGGTAAAAATGCAAACCAGTCTTACTTCAAAGAGCAATAAACAAAACCTAAAGAACAAGTTATATTGGCTGAGAGTGCAAAGAAAACAGTTTAAACATATTCATGGATAACAGGTGTTTACAGATGAACTAGGCAATCTAAACTTACTAGACCCATTTTTAATATTTGAGGTTGATGTCAAGAAGCCCAACCACTCACATCCACACATTCTCCATCAGTGCCACCATCCACAATACATTCCTAGCCCAGGTTGGTAATTCTTCTGATATTAAAAAGACGTAAAATGTTAAACATGTGTGGTAGAAATTGGCACAAGAGGAAACAAACCAGCTGTTTGACTAAATGTCCCTCTCCCACCTGTCTACATCTGATGACCTCAGCTGACAAGTGCCATCTGTCTCTGCCTGGTTTCAACCCCAGGAGATGTGGGAGTATGTGGGGGGGATACAGGTAAGCCATTTACACTCACACACACACACACCCAACATAGTGCTGAATATTTACTTGAATAGTCAACATAGGTGCAGAATATTTACTTGAATTTTTGTCAGGAAGCCGCTCTATCTTCCACACCACAGCCCGGTAAGCACTCTCATACTTTGCTGACCCCACAGTGACCTGAATGACAGGTTCAGATTCGGGTTCATGTAAATTTCCCAGGCACAAGGGTCGGTTCATTTTGGCCTTCAGGGACTTCTGCCTCTGGAGATTCATGGTCCAGAGGGCCTTGATCCACTGAGATGGGACAGGAAAGTGTATCATGATATTGTCACAGCATCTCAAGGACCCGGTGTGGGACGGCCTCTGAAGCGAGGGGGCCATGTTGACAAAGGCCTGAAGCTCCACATAGGCCCCCTGCACGACGACTACAGACTTCAGGGAAAACGGAAGCTCGTCCCCAGGATACAGGGTCCTGAACCGCATCAGCTCAAACCGGCAGGCATCCAGAGGCACAAACTTAATGATTCTAGTTTGCTCAAATTCCTGTTCATTCACACAGTTATGAAAATGATGGTCAAGAATGTCAATCCACTTTTTTTCTGGATCTTTTTCAAAACCGCATCCATCTCGCTTCTGCAGCTGAAGGTCATTCAAGGTTAAAAAGCATTCCGTGTTCCCATTCACAAAGCACAGGCAGCAGATCTGAGTTATCACAGCACTCTCAACCAATTTCCCATCTTCCTTGGTGACTTTCCCCCAGAAGTTGTCCACAATTTCCAGAGAGAGTTCTTGCTCCTCGTAGTTCTTCTTTGGCTTTGAAACAACTGGCAGTTTCATCAGCTCCTCCTCCACCGTGGTTAGAAAGTCGAGAAAGTCACGGTACTCCGGGGACCCCAGCTTCAGCATCTGTTCTATGTCTGGCTCGTGAGCTACTTCCGTCTTAGAATGGTATTTCCTCTTCTCTGTGTAGGACACGTGTTCAATCTTCACAGTGTGGATTTTTCCTGCCACACTAAAGTTCTCAACTTTGGGTTCAGAAAGCCTGCACTGTGGATCGAGCTGTAACTCTTTGAATGGTTTCTCTAACCCCTTCTCATAATACATTTGCAAAATTCCTCCAGGTAAAACTTTCAGAAAAATGGGTCCCCACTGACGGGAAGACATCATGTTCTTCTTCTCAGGAATTCTCAGCATGAAGGACCATCCAGCTTTGGGCTGACTCCTGAAGAGCGTGTGGGGGACAAAGGAAGAGGCAGAGTCCTCAGCATAGGGACACTGCGTAGACACATTCCCAAGAGGATCTTGGTTCTCAGCTGATTGGAGGTGTTCAAGCTTCTCACAGATGTAGTTGAGTGAGCATTTATTTAGGCTTTTTTGATCAACTGGCATCCCCTTGTCTTTCAGTGAGAACATCCTTCTGCTTCCTGGAGTGTCAAAGGTGACTTGGGAAGCGCTGCTTTCTTCTTTCCAAAATGGACTTGAAAACGCACAGTCCTCCCGGAAGTATTGAAACTGGGGTGTGTCACCTTGGACCCCTGTGTTTTCAGCCTGCTGAGGGCAAAGTTCATCTGGAAGACCTCCTTTGGGAGCTGGAACTGTACAAAAGAAGTCACTGGGTGAGAAAGCCTGGGATAAACAGGTTGGTTTTGCAGGCAATGAGGAACAACCTGCCCCTGTTGGTGTGAGTGGGCTATTTGAAGAAGATTCTGGAATAGGATAAAGCACATGAGTCCCTGCTTTAGGCATGCCAGGAAAACCTGGGAAATCTTTGGTAGGCGTAGAAAGAGGAGAATTGCTTGGCGGTCCTGGGCTGAAGTAAAAATCGACAACAGGAGAAGAGAGAGGGGTGCTGCTGGTCGAGGATGATCCGCTGGGGAATTCTTTGAGGCCAGAAAGGTTCAGCTTCAGTCCATTTGGTCTACAGACACCTTGATTCTCCAGAGGGAAACTCCTTGACTTCTGAGACTGAAAAGCAGAATCATCATCAAAGGTGACCCAGTTGCCTGGGTTCGTGGAACACATCTTCAGGAGTGTGTTGTGGTTTGATCAGGAATCACGATAGGCTGTCTCTGTTAAAATAGAAATAAAAACACTAAGTAAAGTGGGGAAGAAACAGATTACTACCTTGGTGCATGGCTGTAATCCCATCTACTTGGGAGCGTGAAATCAAGAGAATCACAGATTTAAGACCAGCCTGGGCAATTTTGTAAGACTCTGTCACTCTCAAAATAAAAAATACAAAAGGCTCATATAACTGAGTGTGAGGGCTCTGAGTTCGATCCCTAGTACAAAAAGAAGGAAAAAAAACTAGGCACTGTGTACCAGAGATTCTCTTTAGGCTTAAGAACACACAGAAAGCATGCACCACACAAATAAAAGCCACAGTGGAGCAGGGAGTGTCACAGTTGGGATCTGGAGTATGCTCGGAGGTGCTCCTGTTAAGAATTAGTCCTCAGCTCCTGGAGCCACTGAGAGGTGTGGAGCGTGCAGGAGGTGAGGCCTGGAGGAGGAAGTCAGATAGAGGGTGCAGACTGGAGCCCTTGAAGGGCTCCAGAGCCCCACCCGTCCCTGGCACTCTCACTGGAGACTGAAGCCTCCACAGCTGTGAGCCAAAAGAAGTCTTTCCTCTAAGTTGATTACCTCATTTTTTTTTCTTTTTAGAGTAACAGAAAGCTAGCATAAGGGACAGCCTTATATCCAAAAAAATAAACATTGAGTCAAAAACTGTTATGAGACACTGAAAAGGGTACTTTATAATGATAAAAGGGCCAATTCACAAGGATGATGTGATAATTATAAATATGTATGAATGCCACATAGGAGCACAAAAATATATGAAGCAAACCTTGATAGAAATGAAGGATAAAATAGGCAGTCATTCAGAGGGTTTAATATTCCACTTTGAAGAGCAAATATGACATCCAGATGAAAAATCAATAAGAAAACAAAGGAACTATAACAACACTATAGACCAAATGGACCTAGTCAAACAGGAAACATTCCACTCATCTGTCACAAAATGAATGCACATTCTTCTCAGGCATACACAAAATATTTGCCAGAACAGATCATACTAGATCACAAAACAAGTCTTAAATTTAAGAGGTCTGAATTCAGACAAATATCTTTGCCAACCACAATGGAATTAAACTCTAGTACTCAGAAGGAAAGCTGGAAAATTCAAAAATACCTCGATATGGGGATTCAAGCAAAGATGGCAGATAGATAACAACTGGCTACAGAGGCTCCCTGAGATAATCAACTTAGAATTCAACATAATACAGCATGGGGAGTCTCGAACAGAGGAAGATGAATTCTCTCATCCCAAGAAGAAACCTGCAGCTTCAACTCACTGGAGGCGCAGTCACACTGAGGTCAGAGGTTGGTCAGCCGAATGGAGAGCTGAGCTGGTGGGGAGCCTGCACCAACCTGTGGTGAGTGAGGGGAGTAGAGCCATTCCACAGGAAGAGGGGCTCCAGCAGATGACATTCTGGGACCGGGCAGGACTGGCAAGTACAAGGGGCAGCAGTGACTTCAGTCAGTTGTTCCCTTCCCAGACGAGACTGGTGGAGTGAGTTTGGCCTGGGTCAAGCGACCTGGCTGAGACCCAATAGGTTATCTGAAATCAAGTCCCTATAGTGATGGCCCACACTAACCCAGTGAAGCCTCAGAAGTTTGACTGACTCAGAGGGGAGGTAGCACACAGTAATACAGTGAAGGCTTCAGCAGCTTGACTGATCTGGAGGGGAGGCTGTTTGCAAATCACTAGCACACTGCAGTGGGAAGGGTCACCTAGCCAGCATGCTTCAGAAGAATTGTAACCAACAAAGAAAGAAACTGGAGCCTCCTGGAAGAAACAAAAAAGATGGGAAGAGGAAGCAACAACAAAAAGTCCTCAGGTCCCAACCCTGAGAACAGTGACCCAGGACAGGTAAATACAAAGGAGAATGAGGACAGCAAACAAGCAATATTAGACACAGCACCAGTGGACATAAAGAGATATCTTCGGGACCTCATAGATGAGTTTAAAAGGGAAATATTTAGCCAAGTAAAGCAAGATATAAGAAGATTAATAAAAGAGATACTAAGCACCCCTCAAGAAGACACAGATGGAAGAAGGGAGGAACTCAAACAAAGGAGAGAACCATTTGATGAAGAATATAAACTAAATATAGAACACATGAAGCAGATTCAAAGAGATTACCAGGAAATTAAAAACTCTATGGAAAGATGGCAAATCTGCTTGAAAGAAACTAAGGATAGATTATCCAAACTGGAGGACAGTTTTGCAACATGGGATTATGAAAATGAAAACTTTTTTAAAATAACAAGGAAACAAGCAGTAACAATACAAAGGCTAGAAGATGACAAAAGGATATGTAACTTGAGAATAAAGAATATGAAGGAAGAAGCAGGGGTACAAATGAAGGAACTACAAAGGCTATTCACAGAAATAATTAAGGAAAACTTCCCAAACATAGGAAAAGGAAATGAGATTCAGATGTATAAGGCATACAGAACTCCAGCCACCTACAACCAAAATAGAGCTACAACCAGACATATAATAATCAAGATCCCAGAAATTCACTATAAGAACAGAATATTAAAAGCTGTTAGAGACAAGAAACAGATAACTTACAGAGGAAGGCCCATCAGAATAACGGCAGACTTCTCGACACAAACCATCAAGTCAAGAAGAGCCTGGAGTGAAATATTCCAAGACCTGAAAGAAAATAACCTCCAGCCCAGATTGATATACCCTGATAAACTGCCTATAGAAATTAATGGAGAAACAAGATGCTTCCAAGACAAAGAGGAACTTGGGAAATTCACAACCACCAATCCAACTCTATAGAGAATACTGCAGGGCATTCTAGAAAGAGAGAAAAGTCCTAGGATTCTAGGAACAGTGGCAGAGAGGCCTCAATGAATGGAGCAGAAAACAGAATGAAGAAGATCAGCAAACAACTGATGGCAAAAAAAAAAGAGCATGATAGAAATGAGGCAAAGAAGGTTGGTTATAATCGCTAGTATAGATGGCTTTGATACACTAAATTAAAAAAAAAACCACACATGGAGTAGATCAAAGAGGAAGGGTCCACCAAGATGCTATTTATAGAAAATATAACTAACATGAAAAGGAGTACATGGACTGAAAATCAAATGTGAGAAAACAATATGACAGAGAACCAGAGAGTAATAGGGGCAACTAGACCAGTATTTGTGGATAGGTTGGAAAGACAAGCTTTAATAGGTAAAGGAATACAATTAGAGATCAAGTCCAGGAGAGAGAAGGTTCGGAACCACTTAGGTAAATAGCAGGTTGCTCCCCATCCCAATTTAAAACCAAGGGTCTTGGTCAGACCCAAAAATGTACAGTGTACCCTGGGGAAGTGAAAGAGGAGGGAGAGTCTTTAAAAAGATGCAGAAGACATTGTTAATAGTGTATCAGGATTGAAAACCCACATAACTCACACCACTCTGCTTGGATAGATTTTATTCTGTCCCAGTTTGTCTACTTGCATTAGGTTTGAGGGCACAGACAGCTATCCCAAAAACATCAGGATATAGCACAGTAATCATCTTTAATTTCCTATTATCTTAATCTAGAGCCATGTATGACTTACATTGTTTTATCATGACTGATCTTAGTTAAATTTGGTTTGATTGCTGTTTGGTATCAACAGATTTTATTCAAAACTGATATGATTGATAGTATCAAGTCTAAGAGTATAGGCAACTATACTGAAGATGACAAGACTAAGATACAGAGTCTGGTTTGATAACTGCCTGTTTTAGAAGTTTTATACTATATACAAAGTTGTGTTTTTATTAATACTGTTATGTACTGATATATTCAATTATACTATGTCTGATGATATAGCCAGTTCTATTGAAGATAACAAGAGACAACACAGGAACTATGGTAGAACTCCTTGTACAGCAGTCTTATATGTCTTTTTCATTTCATGTGTTTATAGAAGTATGTTTTGTTTTGTCTTGCTTTTTTTGTTTCTCCCTCTAATATAGAAAGGACAGAAATACATGTTAAGACTCATGCATGTGGAGAACCTATAAACAATATATAAAAATCAATCAATACAATCTTCACAAAGACTCAACAAACTCAGAATAGAAAAATATTACCTCAGTGTAATTTCCATCTATGAAAAGCCCATAGCTAATGCCCTCCAACACGAAAAGCATGAAAGACTTACTCTAAGATTCAAAAAAAAAAAAATCATTAGAATTCATAGCTGGGGAAATTAGGCAAGAAATAAAAGGCACCCTAACAAAAGGAAGAATCAAAATGATTTCTACTCATTGGTGACATGATATTATATGTAGAAAGTTCTCAAAATTACACATATGTGAAAGAAAGAAAGGCTTGTTAGAATCAAACAGCAAGTTAGCAAAGCTGCAATGAACATACAAAATCCAGCTATATTTACATATACCACCAACAAATTATTCAAAAAGGAAATTAAAATAATCCTTTATACAACAATATCAAAAAATACTTTGGAATAAACATAACCAAGGAAGTGAAAAAGATGTACATTGAAAACTACAAAATGTCACTTTAAAAAATTATAAGGCACAAACAAAAAGACATCACTTGTTCATGGACTGGAAGACAAAATTGTTAAAAACATCCACACCACCCAAAGCAATGTACACATTCAATGCAATTCCTATGGAAATATCAGTGGCATTTTTTCAGATATAGAAAAAAATCCTAAAACTCATATGAAACCAGAAAGGACACCATATAGCCTTTTTTCTAGAGAAAAAAAGCTAAAAGACTCAACTAACTTATGTCAAAATGTATTACAAAGCTCAGCTAATCAAAACAGTACAACACTGGCACAAAAGGCAGACATAGAGACCAAAGGAATAACACATACAGTCCAAAAAACTAAGCCATGGTCAAATATGTTTATAGGCGAATGACCCCTCACAAGGGTGCCAAGATTACACAATAAGGGAAAGATTCTCTCCTTCAGCAGATGGTATGCAGAAAATTGGAAATGCACATGCAAGAGTGAAAGTGGACCCTTAAATCATACGCAAAAACAAGTCAAGAGGGATAGAAGACCTAAACATAAGATATGAAAATGTAAAACCCCTAGGAAAAAAAACGGGAAAAATCTTCATAGCAGTGATTTTGGTAATGATTTCTTGGATGTGATACCAAAGCAAAAACAGACAAGACTGCATCAAATTGAAAAGCTTGTGCACAGCAAACGAAACAAACAGTTTCAAGTCATACGCTAAAGAGAGATGATACAAAACATGTAAGGAACTCAATGCAATAGTAAGCAAACCAGTAAGTGATTTAGAAATGACTAAAGGACTCAGATATTTCTCCAAGGAAGGCAATCAAGGGCCAGAACATACACAAAAAGACGCTCACCAGCACTCATCACTGGGAAAATGCAAATCTAAACCGTGAGCCTTCACCTCACATCTGCTAGGACAGCCCGATAAAAACTAAGTAAGCAAAGGAAAACAACGTGTTGGCAAGAATGTGCAGAAACTGAGGCCATGTGCAACAGACACACTGGGAAACAGTGTGGAAATTCCTCCAAAACAGAAAAAAGAAGAGGGAGAGGGGGAGGAGGGGTGGGGAGGGGAGGGGAGGAGAGGAGAGGAGAGGAGAGGAGAGGAGAGGAGAGGAGAGGAGAGGAGAGGAAAGGAGGGGAGAAGAGAGGAGAACTTCTATATGATCTGCATAATAACCTCACTTCTGAGTATTTATCCAAAAGAGCTAAAAACTGGAGCAGGGTGTGGTAGTGCACACATGTGATCCCAGAACTCTTGGAGGCTGAGGCAGAAAGATCAAAAATTGAAGGCCAGACTGGGCAAATTAGTAACTTAGACTCTGTCTCAAAATTTAAAAAAAAAAAAGATGCTTAGGATGTTGCTCAGTATTCCCCTGGGTTCAATCCGCAAAATTCATTTTAAAAAATTGAAAAGCAGGACCTTAAAGGGATTATTTGCATACCCACATTCACTGCACCATTATCTGTAATAGTCAGTAGGTGAAAACAACCTAAATGTTCACTGATGGGTGAAAGCATACATAAAATGTAGTGTATGTATACGATGGAATATTCTTCAACCCTTAAAAAAAAAAAGGTGTGACACATGCTAAAGTGCCTTGAGCACTTCATGTTAAGCAAAATAAGGCAGTCACAGAAAGACAAGCACCGCATGACCCACTTATACAAGTCAAATTCATGAAAAAGAAAGTGCAATGGTGGTTGTTGGGGGCTGGGGAGGGATGGGGCGTCACTGTTCAATGGGTACCAAGTCCAAGCCATGCAAATGAAAAAGCTCCAGAGATCTGCTGTATAACAATGTGGTATAGTTAGTAATACTATGATGTACACTTAAAAATTTGTTACAAAAGTAGATCTCATGTGGTTTTACCACAGTTGAGAAAAACTGTAATATCTGGAATCAAATCACCAAGTCTTTAGTTGAGTACTTACTAGGTAACCAAAACTTGGCAGTGCTGTGGAAAACCCAGGAGAAAAACTAAAAATCCAATTTAAAATATCCTTATAATCCAGTGGCAGCTCAAAATGACATGAAACATTCTGAAATTCATGATCTTGTTTTCAAAATGACCTGTAAAGAATGTATTGTTATTCCTCTTTCATAGTTAAGATTCCTTGGGGTGGTTCCACTGACTGAATCACCCTAGCCAGTAAGAGACAGAATCAGGCTTTAAAAATAATAGTAATAACAGCTTTATGTGATATAATTCACCATAAAATCCACCCTTTTAAAAAAATGTACCTTTCAGTGGTTTTTAGTATATGAACAAAGTTACACAACTACTGCCATTATCTAATTCCAGAACCTTCTCCTCTCCACCCCAATAAACCCTGTACCCATCAGCAGTCACTTCCTATCCCCACCCACTCTTCCTAGGCCCTGATAACCACTTAATCTGTTTTCTGTCACCATGAACTTGCCTTTTCTGGACACCTGCTAGAAGTGGAATCATACAACACGTGGCCTGGCTTTCACCCACCACATTTTCAAGGTTTATCCGTGTCGTAGCATGTATCAGCAATTCGTTCCTTTTTATGGTGGAATCGCATTCCATTGGGTGGTCCTGTACCGTGTTTTGTGTATCCATTCAACAGATGGTTGACATTTGGTTTGTTTCACATTTTAGCTTTTTTACAGACCATGTTGCTAAGAATATCTATGTAGAAGTTTTGTGTGAACTCTTCTCTTGAATATATGTATACCCAAGTATGGAAAGAGTTGGGATGTGAGCACAGGTCACTTCAATCTGACAGGACAACACACTGATCTGAAATTATCCTAATGACCCCAGAGGCAATGAGCTGTACAGATTGCAGCACTGAGCTGATGGAATGACCCAAATGCTGGGCATTGCCCCGTGCCTTCCTAGTGTAATACGCTCCAGTAACCTCTGGGGTCTTTCCCTAGTCTAAATGCTAAATGGATTGAAACTTTGTCAAAAGCAGAAACTGTTACCTCTAAGTTCCTGGGCCTTAGTGCTGGGATTTTTTTTTATTTATTTATTTTTTAATTGTTTGTTTTTTGGTACCAAGACTCAAACTCAAGAAACGCTCTCGCCAGGCAGGTGCTACACTATACCCCCGGCCCTTAGTGCTGCAATTTTTAAGTATACATTCAGTTTAATCTACAGGAAGAAAATAAAACTGCCGATCTACTGATGTGAAAACTTAGGAGCTTGGTGGAATAATGCCTTGGGCAAGGCCTATTTTTCTCCCTCCAGCCCTCTTCCTGTGGATAAGGAAGGATCAACCAGTGTGATCACTCAAGCCTGGGAAAGAGCCACAGCACAAGGGGGAGAGCCGAGGGCTCTGCTGGAGATAGGTCACCGGCTCGCTGCTGCATCTGCACATTCCCGAGGGCACAGAAAACACGGCGGAGCCAGGCTCACTGGCTCTGGAAAGCACTGCACTGTCACTGCCCTACAGGCCTTTCCCCTGCTGTGGGCAGAGCAGTACACCCGCGGGGCAGGGCTTCCTAGGGGCAGCAGGTCCCCGAGCCACCCTTGTTTGCCTCCTTCAGAAGGAATTCAGCCGAAACGGCTCTGTATAGGATGCTAGATTAGATCACGCACATACTTACTTTAGTTGCGCTTATTAAGGAAAGAGAGAAAAAGAAGGAAGACCAAGAGAAGAAACCATCCCACCGCAGCCTGAATTCTCTTCTGCCTGCACCACTCGGTCCCATTCTCTCCCCTCTGCAGTACGGAGCAGAGGGGCTGGAGGTTTTAGTTTTTGCTTTAGACAAATTCAGCTTCATATGCCAAGCAAATAATCCCATTACTTTGTAAATGGCCCTAAATGTTTTAAAAACACAATCTACCAAGAAAATCAGTTACTTTGAACCCCAAATCCATGGAGGCATGTTCCTGGAGGGCGCTCAGCAAGCAGAACACCACCAATCACCCAAACAGGCCGGGCACTATCAAGGTAGCTTTGTTCCCCTCTGTGCGCTTCTTGTCTCCCTCTGTCCCTCTTGCTGATAACCACCTCTCCCCACCCCAAATCTATGCCCTTCGCACATTATGAGTAGCATTGTGTCTAGACCTGGACCTCTATCCTCCGGAGAGATCTAGGTCAAACCATTGGCAGAGCGCTGCCATGGGTGACGTCATTTAGAATTCCCAACAAGCTAGAGCCCACCCAGCACCTGGGCATCATCTCCGAGGGCCAGAATCCAGGTAGTATACAGTAGGAACCCATCCTCCTGGCTACCCATCCCAGTCACCTTGCTTGGAGCAATGATCCCTCTAGTCTGATGCTCTGGCTCCTTCCGCAGTTGTGGATTCTGCTCACTTTGAACGCAGGTCTGTCCTCAGCCCAGCTAGATTACCCTGCTCATCTTCAGAAAACAATCCAGCAGGGCCAGACGTCAAGCCTCGGGATGAAACATGGATAGAAAGGAAGATGTATTGCAGAGGAACTTCCTAAACACCCATTTCTGAGATGGGAAGATTTTTAAGGAAAATGTCTGCTTCCCTTAGATGGTTAATAATTCTTTACAGCTGTATTCTGAAAGCAGTATCAGCATATACTGAACTCACCTTCCACACTGTTGGTGGAAATGTAAACTATTACCATCAGTACTGAATCAGTCAGGAGATTCTGCAAAAGACCAAAAATAGACCTTTCACTGGACCCAGCTATTTGTCTTCTAGGCGTCTTCCAGAAACAGTTGAAGATATCATCTTACAGAAATATATGGACACCCATGTTCATCAGCACAACTCATAATAGCTAAACCTTGGAAGCAACATATATGTCCATCAGCAGATGCATGGATAAAGAAAATGCTATTTACACACCAGGGAGTGCCACTCTACCATAAGGAAAGTTAAACTTGAGTCATTTGTGAAAAATGGATGCACCTTGAGACCGTAATGGCCAGTGAAATAAAGCAGACACAAACTCTTCTGTATCACATTACTTCTCTTCCATGAGAAACCCAGAGTAAAGATAAAGAGCAAAACAGAACACAGATAACAGGAAGTGGGGAAATAGATCTTCCTTAAAGGGGAAGAGGGCCGAGAGTAGAGATGGGCGAGGAAGGGATAAGGAGAGGGAAAAAGGAACCAGGACGTGCTGTGAACGTGTACCAACTCCACACAACGCAGGTAAACAGTACGTTCTACACACATGGACTAATTAACTTGGATTTAAAATGGAGAAAGAATATGTTGAGGTCGGGAACAAACCATGAGTAGACATTTGCCTACACAAGCAAGGGTGTGAGCACGGATTTCTGCCTTAGATCTCAGCAGCGGGGAAAATGGCCCTTGGGAGCCCAGCGCATTCGCCTGGACGTGGCAAGAGGTTAGCAGTCCCCTCTCTGGGACAGTGTGAAACACCCTCTAGGTGAATCGGCAGCAGCAGAGGACAAGGCCAGAGCACCCACGCACACAGGCTGGGCTCGCCCTCATTCCTGGACTTCTCCTTCATGTGAGAAATATCAGAGTGCTTAAAAGAGTATAATGGAGACGATCATGAATTGATTCCACATTATCTTAAAAAGTAAACCACAAACAGAAATACTTTAAATAGTATTTAAAGTAGTATAACAGGTCTGATGAATAAGAAGCAGCAGTATTAAAAAATGGTCTCACCAAAAAGAACTGGTGATATAAACTTTCTATTCATCATAGGAAAATTTCATATATTCTTGGAAAGTCAGAGTGAAGTCTTGTCAAGAAGAAATCATGTCTACTTTTTATAGCATTTCCTACTCTTCCTACAAATGCCTGACACAATTTTGAATCTCAATACACTTTTTATTAAGTACTTTGGCCTTTTGTTTTTCTGAAAAATACATCTCTACACTATCTTCCCAGTTCAAAGAACCACTGAATTGTAAGTGTTAGAAAGAAACTGGAGATATTCTATTCAATTAACCTCACCAACAAACATTTAGCAAATGCTCCTGGCATGTCAGGGCCGGGCTGTGCATAATCTCATTTAATACTCACAACTCATCGTGTTCTACAACGGGGAGATAAAGTTCAGATAAAGTTAAACTACTTACCTAAAGATACACGGCCAGTAAGGGGCAAAGCCTGAACTCTGACCAAGTCTATCTGACCCCCAAGTCCATCATCTCCAGGATTCAGAAAGCACCAATGTCTGCTGGTGTCGCATGTCCTGCCATTTCTGAGCACTTTCCAACCCCCTTTAAGATCACAACACCAAACTAGAACCATCCCTCCCTAGAGGCAGGAACTGTCTAAACAGGACAGAGCCTGCTCGCAGCCAGGGACAGCCAGTGAGCTCACCACACATCTGCCCTGGACACGGGGCTGCAAGAGAGACAGGCTGTGGGACAGTTTCCCTCGGAATGCTCAGGAGCAGCCACCCAGCACTGGTTCCAGTCATTTCTGAGAATGGCTTTCCCAACAGCCTGCCGCACTGCCTGTCCCTTCCTGACTGCCTCAGCTGGCCCTCCTACCCTTCGTCCAACTTCTCTGCTGTCTAGCGGAGATCAGAGCTTCTCCCTCGCAGCCACCCTGCTATACTGTTGGATTCTCCAGACATCACCTAGGTCCCCCCCTCCCACGCCACCCTCCAGCCTCCTCTACCTCCATGTTCTCTGCAGTTTTCCTCGGCTTTTTCAAAGATTCTACGGAATGTAAATAAGCAGTTCTACCTCCTCCTGATTGGACGACTGTGGCTGGAGAAGCGGCGGTCCAGGTTGTTTTCACTTGAAGACTTTTTCCCCACTTCAGTGCGTGTCTGTGGAGAACGTCCTCTAATATGGTCCCTCACATCTGGTTCCTCTCCATCTGCCAGATGTTGAGGGAGGGCTGTGCTGAGGAGGTACTTGGCAAAGCTCCGGAATCCTCACCAAACCCATCAAAAGCCTCCTGGCCTCTGCCCCAACCCAACTGTGCCAGCTGGGCTGAATCCTCCTTAAGCCTCAGAAATGCATGTACTCACAGGAACAAGCTGGCCTTTGCAGGAAGGCTGAATTTAGTCTTCTATGCCTGTGCCTTTCTGCTCCGTAACAATGCTGCATAATCCAGAGAAGGAATGTCTTCGTTTTACTATCTGTGTACTTTCATTGGCTGCTCCCCAAACGTGGAATTCTCAGACTCCTCCGGTGCCAGACTCCTCCAGAACAACGCGGCAATTAGACTGGCACCATGTGTGCAAAGCCCCCGTCTTCTTTGGTACATCTGAGGTCGGCAATCCAGGTACCTTCACTGCTATTCCAAGACGCGTATTAGGGAAATAAAGCAATCAGGCAGGCCAGTGTGTAAAAACACATGGTGAAGGGCATTTGTTAGGGGTGGTCCTGGGAATGGAACCTGAGAACTCCAATGTGCTCGACAAGTGCTGTACCACTCAGGTGCACCCTCAGCCCAAGAATCTTCTGAGTATTTCAAGTATTATGTCAATAGATGTTTCCCCTTTGAGGAGGGCAGTGAGGGCGTGAGACAGAAAGGAAGCATAAGACTTCGGAGAAAATGCAAAGGCCTCACTCCCGGGTCGTGGAGGAGGGTCCACAGGTTGCGTGAGCCGTGTTATTAGCACATGTGTTCTGCAGCCCATGGTATCTGATTACAAACATGTGCGGGATTCAGTTCAGCCGTGTGACAGGAAATAGCGCTGGTAAAATATCAGACCTCAACACAGTCTGCCTGCGCCTCCACATCTTATCACGGCTGCGTCCAGCTCCACTAAGCACCCTGGCCCTCCCCGGGACACTTAATCTTCAATTTGCCAGCATGAATTTGGGTCCTGATCATCTGTTAAAAACTCTTTGTATCATGTGTCCAGGTCCTAAATGTCAAAATAGTGACCAAACTCCCAGCAGGCCCTGATTTGCTTCTTGAAACAGACCTGTGAGCTTTGGCTATAAACACTTGGTCAAACAGTTTCTAACCGCTCAGGGCCACATCCCCAGATGACAATGGCCTGTTTAAAGCACCTGCCTGGGAAAAGGCATGGCTGCCTAAAGAGTTTACTGTTTCAGCCTTCCTCTCAAGACAGGGAAACCCTGCCCAGGCTCGGTGCCAGGCTGGGCGCAAACTTTGGGTAGATGCCAATCTGCTTGTCCACACCGTGCTAACATCTTCCTGCTGTGTGTAACCTTTCACTTCCCCACCCCACAGAAACCTTCTCTCTTCGAAACACTAAGTCCCTTCTCTGCAAATCTGCGGTGAGTTAGCTCATACCTGACTCTCTTCCTTACTGTGACAACCATCACCAGTGAAAGTCTCTCCTCACAACGTTACGTCCAGCTGTGTTCACCTCTGACAGGAGGATGGACAGACAGCTGGCCAGTCCTCAGAGGGGGTCTCCACGTGAACAAAGCCTGAGCTGAGTAAGGGCTCTGATTTTAGATTTTTATCCTGGGTTTTATTTTGTTTTTGTTTTGTGACACTGGAGATCAAACCCAGGGTCTTATGCATATTTCTGTTAACGGGAAGAAACAGCACTGAGGAGGTTAAGGAGGTAGCTTATTACACGCTGGGCGAGGGTCTTTCCCCAAGAGCCAGCCCTGCCCCACATAGTTTCGGGGCTTTTATTGGGAAAGAGTGGAGAGGTACAGAGACAGATGTGGTGCATGTGACCAGAGGGCTGGGTGACGGCGTGGGTTGCTGAAGGAGTCTGCACACTGCAGGTTCCATGGTAAGGCTCTCAGCTACACAAAGTGTGTGTTATACCAAGAAGAAATGTCCCGTTACATTGTAAGTTACATTGTGAGGCCGCCAGTTACACCAGGGGTTTACACAAAGAAACAAGTGTTCTGTCGCTGGGCCTGCCGGACATGCCCGCTTGGTCTTGGCAGACATCATGGGCAGGCTTTTATGTAAAATTTTAATTTTCTCTCCTTTATTTTCAGGCCAAAAATTTTATTCCAGTTATATTTTACGGAGTAGCCACACCATGTTCTTACCCTGCCATAGATGCTACCGAAACTGGGTAAGTAATTGGCAATCTCTGAGCCTGTTTCCTCATCTGTAAAACGACGATGCTCATATTTCCCATTTGACTGCCTCATAATAGGTGCCACTTGGCTACTTTCTCCTCTCCTCTCCCTTTGTTTCCCTGCTGCCCCTACTCTAGCCCTTAGAACACACACCCTCTCTCTACTCAAAAGGATGTTGAAGAGTGCTAACTCTGGAGCTAAGGAAACATGAGGTTAACCTGCTAATCCATTACTAGATCCGTTCCTCTGTTCTGCCTGATTTACAGAGAGTGTCTTTACAAGGTGTGGTCAAATATTTACTGAATGCCACTGCAAAAGGCAGCCGTCATCCACCTTATTCACAAGACGCAGCACCATCCAACTTCTGGCTCTTCCCCACATCAAAATGACCATGAAACATGAATGTTTTCAATGGATTCAGGGCTGTACCCCTGCCTTGTATCCTAAGCCCTTTTACGTATATTTTGAGATAGGCTCTCACCACGCTGCCCACACTGACCTCCAACCGGCCATCTCCTGCCTCAGCCCCCTGAGTAGCTAGCTGTGTGGTAATGTGTAACCCCACACCCAGTGGTACAGTGGCTTCTCCAACAAACCACAGTCGCAGGTTCTTTCCCAGAAACACCAGCAGTCCTCATGGGGGGCCACAGCCCCACATGGGCGGGGCTGGAATGACCACTTGCCTTTGGCCAAAGCAAGAACAAGAACATAAGGGCTTTCTTCGCTGTCCTTCTGACCTTCAGGATGGAAGCCTCCCACCGTCAGGCCCTGGTCTCTTCTCACAAAGGAACAGAGCCCAAAGTGGGGGACCAAACCCTCCCACAAGATGGGCCCCTGTAATGCTGTAAGATACACAGTGTGTACCCTGCCTGTCTCCTCCCAACTGTGTCCCCGCACTTAGCCATGTACAGCTCGACTTAAATCAGTAGCACCTGATTAAACAGCATCAGGAAAGAGAGTGATTCAAAGCAACACAGCCCTCTACACACCCACTGTTGCCCACTGAAACCCTGAAGGATCTAAAAGCCTGGGCCCATGCTTGTCAACTGCAACCCAGGACAGCACCGCTATGGACCAGTGGTTCTCAGCCAGAGTGACCTGCCTTTCCAGGGGACACCTGGATGTGTCTAGAGTCACCGGTTGTCAATACAGGAGTGTACGATGCTACTGGCATCTAGGAAGTAGGGGCCAGGGATGCTGCTGACCTCTTACAATACACAGGCTCCCCCAACTCCGATGAATGATCTAGCCCAAACTATGAGCAGTACTGAACCTGAGCAGGCCTGTTCCGAGATGACCAGGGAGCTGGCAGGGTGGCAAGCATGATATCCACTTCTGCACCTATTTTTGTAGACAATGAATCAGATGCTGGAGTATGGCCCAAACAGAAAATGGTGCTGTCAGAACTGACCCCTGCTGGGAATATAGCTCCATGGCATAGTGCCTGCCTGGCAAGCATAAAGTCCCGAGTTCAATTCCCAGTACAAACAAACAAACAAAATAAAAGAACTGACCCCTGTCTCAAGCCCCACGTATCACACCCTTTGCATTACATCATGCTGACCACCAGGCAGAAGTCAGAACAGAAGGGGAGGAGACAAGAGGGGAGAAAAATCACCAAAAAGGCCAGGAGATAGAGACCCAAGCCAGAACAAAGTTTGTCAGAGTCCTGCTGGAAGCAGAGCCAGAGCAGATGCAGGGAGACATGGGACTTCCATGAGGCCAGTGGAGGCAGGGCAGTGTCTGAAGCTTGTCTGGAAGCAAAGGGCAACTACTGCCCACTCATCCTGCGTGGGCACCAGGCCCTATGGATGCAGTCAGGCTGGTGCCCCTGCCCCATGCCCAGGGGTTTATGACAGTCCGCATAATGGCCTGCTTCTTCAGATCTGCCTGCTGTCCTGTCTCAGGAGCAGCACAGAGAGGAGCCCATGACTTCCCACTCTGCAGAAAATGCAGCCCACCCCTGGCCTTCACGGGCACCAAGGCTTGCGGACAAGGCCTGCTTTCAGGGCTGCCCCTGGCATTTCTGTTCTGTGGGTTCCTCAGTGGGAAGAGCAAGGTCTCAGAAGGAGAATGAGAGAAATGAGAAAACGCATTGTCTCCTCGGAGGCCCTGGAGCTGCCAGATGCTGGCTCCTGGATCTGGGTTCTGAATTCTCCAAGGAAAGCGAGCTGAGCGGGGCTTGGTTCTGATCCCACATTTTAAACATGCAAAGCTGCTCCTTCTCTCCCCCTGCAGACCTGCCGTCCCTCTCATGATAAGCAGGAAATCTGGAAGTCTAAAACACTACAAAGAGCATCTTTCTCTCTAGACTTAACTATCGGGGTGGGGGGGTACCTAAAGTTAACCCCTTTGCTCTGAAAACTGGTCAGTTTGTCTTCATTGCTATGTAATTGCTTTTAGTGTTTTGAGGGAACACAAGTAGTTAAGTGGTCCAAGAGAGTACCTGGTACTCTAAAGTAATTCCTTCCCATAGGCAAAACAAGTGCATTCAGACTGGAGTGGGCCACCACTGGCCAAATTGAGGACCTTGACCCTTAGATGCTAGGCTTGGAAGAACACTGGCCAAATGTCCTGGAGCAAATCCCCGCCGCACACCA